CCATATGAATATATTTAAACCAATATCTATATGAATATATTTAAACCAACAATCTCATAAAAAAGTCCTATTTATTAAAGAAAAAAAATTTGAGTTAGTGTCTCAAAAATTAAAAAGCTGTTTCTGGTTGATCTTCCCCAAGGGTGGATTTAGAGTGGCGCACAGCTATTGCTGCATCCCACAGCTTTTATTGATGCTGACCAATTTTTGTTACTCAAAAATTACAACATTTTTTTTCTTCAAATCTTGGATTCTGGAATTTTTCATGGCCCCGATCAAATTGCAAAGGACTTTGCACTGCGTACTCAGATTTACCAACCATCCAACTTGGAATTGGCGCTCAAACATTGTTCCCGCAATTTTTGAAAATCCTGGATCCCCCATGCAAATAAATATTTTGTTTCAAGGTAGCACAGTTAAATGAGACTTTTTACACGTGTAGGTTGCATGGTGGACATCAGTTTTGTAGTACTTCTACTTATACTACGGCTGCACTTGACCATCAGTGGGTCGTAGTGACCTCCAATCTCCCCGGTTAAGGGCAAGGGACCAGCACTTGTTGTAGTCGAGTACTTTTTTTCCAAGTACCAAGTACTGCCGAGTAATTAGGTTACTGAGATTACTTGTACTTTCAAGTACAAATACAGGTCTCAGAGTACGACTACTTGTACTTCCGAGTACGAGTACTTGTACATCCGAGTACAAGTACGAGTACTTGTACATGTATTTCCAAATACGCCCATACCGCAAATGGTTCATTGTGCGTAATTGGCCCAGGCCCAGTCAGACCGATATAAGACCCACTCAGGGCTAGCTGTTAAATGTGTTTGTCCAGACGTGCACAGAGGAAAATCAGGAAACTTCGATTATCGGAGTACGAGTACTTTGATGATCGAGTACAATTTTGACATGTCAAGTACGAGTACTTTGCTGGCCGAGTACGAGTTCTGTCATTTTGAGTAGGAGTACTTTGACATTCCAGTACGAGTACGAGTACTCTAAAAAAAAAAAAAAGGAATCGAATAGTACTCAAATACGAGTACCGAGTACAAGTACTACAACACTGGTGGACGTAACAAAGTATGGAAGGTTTGTGGTAACACCCATGTAAACTTTCTCTCTCTTGAGTCTTGTGGTTTTGAGAAGAACCAGTTGTTTTAACTGGATGTTTCCAAAAATGTGCTCTGTTCGTCATTCGTCATTAGGAGACTGCTGGTCTCTTGCTGGTGTTCTGCACCAGGGGGATACACAAGAAAGTGTGGATTCGTAATTTATTGGCGCCTCGTGAATTCGTAAATTAAGAATCCACATTTTCTCGTGTATTCTTTGACTTAAACCATTGCATCAACAGAAGAATGTTGCAACCTGACGCCATGTTTTTTATTCATTATCATCTCAATGAAGGCTATTCGTTGCAAAAATGATGATAAGACATGAATCTGGGACTGAGAAATGTTTCCAATTTTGTTAGGAAATATTTGAAATGACTCTCCATAGACTTTGTACACAAGCGCGGAAGTGGCGTCAGGTTGCAACATTTTTTCCTAGCTGTTTAGCATGTGTATCGCCACACCCATAAAACCAAGTCAATTTGTGTGTATAGGCTCCTTACGTCAAAATGGATAGTTCAGACGACGATTTCTTTCTGACTAACAGTAGATTTTGCAGTGACGGCTGAGAATCTGACAGTGAAGATGCATTGGTAATTTTCGGAAAGCAAATTTTCACACAGACGGTCTTATTCATACTCATTATGGAGAACAATTGTCCGACGTGTTCAAAGTGTGGATTCGTAATTCCGAATCCACACTTTACTAAAGATTCGTCGTTCGGAATCCACACTGTGTGACCAGTGTAAGAGATTCGTAGATCCGAAGCCACGTTTTTAACAATAGTGTGACATCATAGCAATGGTGTAATAATAGTTCGGTAGCACACAATTGTCGCTACAGCTATGTGCTCCAAGAGCCTTTCCTGCAATGCATTTGCCATTGACTGGTGTATGACTCACATACATAACAAGTGAATCTGTGTGACCTGCTGACATCTTGTTCCCCTTACTCACATGTAGGCCTGTAATAGTGAAAATGTGTTCCGCAAAGTGAAAAAGAAAATGAATAAAACAAATATTGCTTAGTTTTTCTCATCAATTCTCATCAAATGCAATTTATCCACTTGGCTCACTTAGTCATTGTTTTAGGCCCCCAAATGTATACCTACATGTACCTAACATTTTGTTTGCAGCTAAATTGATGATCTCAGCAGCATCAGTTTGGCCAATAACGTACATTTAAAAATAGAAAAATCTCTTCCATATACAAATTAGTTTGTGTGATATCAATTAGTTCATTAAACAATAAAAAAGAGGTTGTGGAATGCTCGAAGACATTTCCCTCATTTTTTGGGTATATACATGTATAGCCTAAGGTGTGATGAAATAAAAACGACTATTGTTTCTGTCATGAAATGAGTACAAAGGTTACTTTTGAGAGCTATTTTTCAGGTCCTGTTTCGACCCAAACGTGCAATTTGTGTAAAAGTCGTCGTTGCAGGCAGCAAACAAAACACAGTAAATTGTGACGTAATAAACAGGACTCGTTTATGCTACTCTGCATCGGGAGTCCTGTTTATTACGTCACGATTTACTGTGTTTTGTTTGCTGCCTGCAACAACGACTTTTACACAAATTGCACGTTCGGGTCGAAACAGGCATGACAGGACTTGAAAAACAGCTCTCAAAAGTACCTTTTGTACTCATTTTATGACAGAAACAATAGTCGTTTTTATTTCATCACACCTTAGGCTACATATACCCAAAAAATGACGGAAATGTCTTCGGGCATTCCACAACCTCTTTAAAGGTATCTAAAAGAAAACAAGTGAGCCAAGGTAAAAATGACCCGGAGACATACTATACCAAATGTTACACAATGAAATTATTTCCTACCTACCTATCTACCTTGGAAATTTTCAGGGCAATACTTAACAAACAATTTCTTTTCAGCCTTAACACTTAATTTAGCTTAAATGAAGAGCCACCAACGTAGAGCTGGATAGCTCAGTTGGTAGAGCACCGGAACGGCGATACAGAGGTCGCAGGTTCAAACCCCACTCCAGTCAATTTCTTTGTTCAGCCTTAAAATAGTTCTTTAATATTTCCTGATGTTTTAAAAAGTAAACCATAAATACACACGATGAAATAAAGACAACCTCCAAAACTCTGGCCTATTTATTTTCTTTGTTGCTCAAGCTGATGAAATATTCTCCCTCTACATCACTTTTGTGCTCATGAATATGAAAGACTTAAAATTAAAATAAAAGGTACACAATGCACAACTGCGTATTTCACGAGTTGTCATTGTAAATTTGTCATGCTACTTTGCGTAGCTCATACGCATGAAAAGCAGTTTGAGTTTTGCGGTGACAAGATAAGAAAGGGATATAATTAGACAAGATAAGATTAATTAGATTATTTATTTACAGCAAGACGCTTATTGAATAAAAAAAAATCAAAAGCATCTTTAGGGGAGAGGGGATCAGATATACCTCGAAATAGATGATGGTTGGCGTGATTAAATGGGTGCTTGAAAGTGGCATCTTGAGTGAAGTCATGTCTCCTGCATTTGCAGCCTTGGATCTCCTTAAGGGCTTCTTCTTCTTCAGATTTAACGGTCTTCTGCTGCTCAGCTGACAGGTGATCTGTCGTGATCTGCTCACGGTGAGTGTCTGTCATCCAACTGGCCTAAGATGCTGTCATCTGTAATCCTGATCTTCCACTCAGAAATCAGTTCTTGTGCTTCTTGGATGTCATGAATTGCAGATCGGGCGTCGTTCTTTGAAATGATTGCAATTGTGATTCATTCCAGGCATGCCAGGATGATATCTAGCTGTCCACGAAACTCAAACTGAGCTATGTTCCTGGGTTTAGTCAGCTGTTAGGCTTCAAGCTTATGTTTAGCTCCTTCAAAGAAGAGACATCTTGAGGTTTCAAGATATCTTTGAATTTTTCATCGAAGTAGCCTTTGAATTTTTCGAACAATGATGCAGGATCGAAATTGCGTTCGTCTGGACTCAACATATCAAACAGGAACTACCAGATGGAAATTGGCAAAGGCAAGTATGGACAACTGACAAAGACGCTTAGCGGGTGCAGCGATCTGAAGTGGTGGATGTGGAATAGGACTTACCGGTATATAATAGCGTCACACTTCATTAATTAGGAAGGTCATCTGACTGTAAGGCGGGAGATGCGATGGACCGTGTCGAACAGGGGCAATTCATGTATAGTCAAGGGAGCCCTCAGCCCAGGAGGTTTAAAGGAGCTAACTTGTCACGCAAACGACAAAACTATATTTTAACTTTGTCGACCCTTTGTTTTAAAGGGAATGTACCGGTACAACATTGGCTTTTGCTGCAATTTTCATAAATAAATGGATTGGAGGATTAGTATGTTATATAAAATATTGTTAAACTGACTTGTTTCATGTTTTGGGCTTGTAGATGCTGGAAAAACCAAGAAAACCTATCATGTTCTTGTAGTCTGGTTCACTGACCCCACTTAAGATGAAACGAAGCAATTAATACACTTTAGGGAATTGTAAGGTCAGAGAATTAGTCTAGCAGGCTTGTACCCCTTCACAGGTGTGTGATCAATTGCAAAGACAAGTCAGAATAACTAAATGTGAAAAATTAAGAACAGTTTTTGAAAAAAGCCAGTTGTCTCCAACGCTGGTCGGCCGACCAGCGTTGGAAAAATACAGTTTTTCTTGCAAATGTCAGCCCACGAGGATCCACGATTTTAAAGGATTCTTTAGACTGTCAGTACCTAACAATTTAGTAAGGTTTTTCGTGATAATTTGATCATTTCGTTTTTCCATGTTTGCAGATGTTGTATTTTCCCTTTAAAGAAAGAGATCGTCAATTTGTTTCATAGAAAGAGAATGGCAACCACAAAAAGGGGGGAGGGAAGGAATAAAACAATGTAATAAACTCTGACTTACTTATCTATCCAATGTGGAGTATCATTTTGCCAATCCAAGCTCCCACAAGTTAAATCCAAAGTGAAAGAGTGGCACAGTCGTAAATTCCGCGTGTTTAGTTTGCACCACGGCACCATGCATAAAACACGGCTACCGAACAAGCTTTCTTTCGTCAATAGAATTCTTCAATAGAAAGAAAGAGGCGGTGCAAAACATATAATTCCAATTCCGCTCACTTGTTTATCCCGCGTTGTAATGCCAAAGCGACTTGTTTCTTGGCATATTGCCAAGCCTCTCACCGATGACAGTTTAAATCTAACGAAAAACTAAAAAGGAAACGCGATAATTTGACCACAGAAAATAGTTTAAAAATCCAATGGTAAATATACTGCAGCTTAGAGCGTAAAAGGTCTAGCCACTGAGCTATCTAAAGAATATCACATAATGTGTATTTCATTTCTATAGGCTTGGAATAACAATGTAGTTCAAGAAATCAATGAGTGCAATCTGGATAGGCAAACACTAGGCCCATTCAAGTGGACGGCCTGGCACTAGAAGGGAGAGTCCCCAGCGCAGCACCCAAAGACGAACCTTGGACCTCAGAAAAAAAATATATATTAAACAACATACCTCGATCTGCTTGTGTAGCAGGCTGCCTGTTCAGGGTTCTTATTTGCACAGTTCAAGAGTTGCGTAAGGCAAGTGTCGAATATGGACTTGAGTATTGCAAGCAAATATGGGGGGGGGGGGGTATACGATTGCGATCAGATTGCCGTCTGCGGCCAGTTTTACTACCAAAAAAAAAATCCATTTGAGTTGTAAATGTTTGTAATCAAGTTATCATAATTTCAAGTCTGTCACGCAGTCTCAATGGACCGATCCAGCGAAGGCCCGCCTCTTGATGTCCCTATACCAATCACAATGGTGATTAATGTCTTACAAGTATGCACAAAAGTCCAACGTGCAGGCACAATTAAGTGAGGAGTTCGTTTGCAAAGTGCAGTAAACGCCATAAATGTCACCTTTTAGGATGCCACGCTCTTCTGGCTGTCCAAAGTCAGTTTTGATGGCTGTTATAATATAGTTAAACACAATTTTAGAATACAGTAAGGCGAAACTTTAGTTTAGAAACGGCTGTAACACTGTGGTTCTATAAGTTTTCAAAACCGTAAAAACTTTTTCGCTTTCTTTTCAAATGGTTTTTCAGGGTGTCCATAATTTTTCAAAAATACTAGCACTCTCTCTTTGCAAAACGTATAGATAGAGTCTGAAAGTGTAGTACAGCGTGTGTCAATAAAAACGCAGGATTCAAAGCGATTTTTTTTTCTGAGAAAATTATGCTACTGGTGTGCCTAATTTGATAAGGATTTGATTGTCCATAATTTCATCTTTGACGAGATTTTTGTTTGGTGGAATTTGGACTTTTGGTTCAAAAGTTATGACAAGTTTTGTGAAGCCCTTCTGAAGCGGGTCGGTCTGATTCAATGACCTTAACACAACGACCAGTTATGTACAATGCAGGTATGCATTGAAGACAATTAAACCAGAACAAAACTTTCTTTGAAACAACTGATGATAAGTATCACTTAAATTTAATAACTGGACTATCATTGTTTCAAAGCATCATGAATTATTGACTAATAACATTGATTGTGGACTAAAGGATTATGTAAGCCTCATCCTGCCACACATGTCCTTCTTTGTGATCCACAAATACTTTCACCTGTACTGAATTCAAACCTTTCATTAGGTATGTGTGATTTCACAAATCAGACCAGCTTGGAATTTATAACCCTTCTTCAATGTACTCTATCTCTGGACAGGATTGTCCAAATGAGATGGGATAAAAAGCATAGTGAAGAGAAGGAAAGGTACTTTGAAAAGAGGGTTACATTATGATGAATAGGGGTGGTTTATATTCTTAATATTTTTGTTTCTAATTCTGCGTTTTTATTGACACACGCTGTAGATATATTACACACAATAGTCTTTATCCCATCTCCCTTGGACATCTCACACAGCTAATCAAGTATACGGACTTGAATTTCAAGTTGGGCCACTTGGTATCTAACGAAAGGCAGAATTTCCAAAACGCGATATACAGGGTGTCTATTTGTGGCAGTCAAACAAAAACATTTTTCTGAGGAAACGAAATCATTTTGGGGGTAAAAAATTTACCAAAGAGATGATAGAGTGTTTCTTTACCCTTGACAGGAATTTTGTTCCGTGTGACTTGGACCTTTTGTTTAAAGGGAATATACAACATTTGCAAACATCGAAAAATAAAACTACCAAGTTTTTACGAAATACCTTACTAGGATATTGGTAAATGATAGTCTCAAGCATTTTGTAAAATTATGGCACCTGGTGTGAAGTAATTTTCAAGAAAATGGTATTTTTGTATACATTTCCAATGGTGGTCGGCCGACCAGCGTTGGAAAAACCTAACTATTTTTCAACTATACTGCTTCAAATTAACCATTTTTTCAGTCCAAATTTTGTTTGCTATTGGTTACATGTTTCATGAACGGGTGCAGGCCAGCTAGACTGGTTTCCGTGCCTTACAATTTTCCATCATCTATAAATTGATCCATTTTATCTTTTGTTGAGTCAGGGAACCAGACTACTTAAACATTTTTGTTTTTCTTGGTTTTTCCAACCTTTTCGAACACAAAACTTCAAAAATGTCAGTGTAACAATATTTGATCTATATATACTAACCCCTCAAATAGTTCATTTCTGAAAATTACATCAAAAACCAATGATGTACATTCCCTTTAAAACTTACAGCAAAGCTTGTAAAGACTGTCCAAATCTGTTCGGGCCACTTTCTTCACCTTTTTGGTACGTGTATGTTTGTCCTTTTTCAGTCTTGCTCACAAACACGTATCAGATATTGTAACGGTAAATACATAAAAACTAGATATCACACGCCGTCTCTGGGTTTGCTTGGATAGTCCACTATTTTCTAAAAGTAGTGATCTGCATGGCAGTATACATTATACAAATAATTGTGAATGTTATTGATTGACCTGTCAATTTTATGTTTCATTCGAAAAATATAACATCCAGTAAATGGTCATTGATAAACAAATTAAAAGGAACAAAACAGTAACAAAACAAAAGGAAAAGGGGAGGAACAAGTACACTTTTCGAGGCTGTGAAATAAAAGATGTATTGTTACCGCAAATTATATGTTTGCACACACCATGACCACAATGAGATATCGGCCAATAAAAGTCTCCATAAAATGCAGCAATCACTACATATATAGACCACTCGCTAAACTTCAAACAATTTTCCTTTGTGCACGCTTGGCAACTACCTACCCACCGACATCCTGTGCTTAAGCGTTTCCAGGCTAAAACAATTTTTTTTGTTGGAGGTCAACATTTAATTCTTACATGCCATTTTGTTTTTGTTCCAGGAAAAACTGTGCTTTGTATCCCCCCCCCCCCCCCCCCCACAGAGCCTGGCCTTAAAATGGGGCAGTGGGATATGTGTGTGGTATTGTTGTACATGATTAATGTGACTATAGCTTGGGAAAAATCAACACAGCCCTAGGAAAGCACTTGACCCATGCCGTCAATCTCTTTGCTCTAATTTTCATTTCCTTTTTTTTTTTTTTTTTTTGGTGGCTGTTTCTAGAGAGGGTCTTCTCGACCCTCACGGACTGACTGATTGATTCACTGACACTCGTGGGTTAGGCATTGCTTATCCTAAGGGCCTTTCATCACACTGTCTACAATCTCCGGGTCCAACATGGAGATATCAGGAACCCTTTTAAAGGGAATGTACATCATTGGCTTTTGCTGTAATTTTCAGAAATGAACTATTTGAGGGGTTAGTATAATAGATCAAATATTGTTTAACTGGCATGTTTGAAGTTTTGTGTTCGAAAATGCTGGAAAAATCAAGAAAAACAAAAAGTTTAAGTAGTCTGGTTCCCTGACTCCACTAAAGATAAAATGGATCAATTTATAGATGTCAGAAAATTGTACGGTAAGGGAACCAGTCTAGCTGGCCTGCACCCGTTCATAAACATGTAACCAATAGCAAACAACATTTGGACTGAAAAAAATTGTAAATTAGGAGCAGTAGTTGAAAAAAAATTTCCAACGGTGGTCGGCCGACCACCGTTGGAAATGTATACAAATATACCATTTTCTTGAAAATGACTTGACACAAGGTGCCATAATTTTACAGGATGCTTAAGACTGTCATTCCTTAACAATCCAGTAAGGTATTTCGTGATAATTTGATCATTTCATTTTTTGATGTTTGCAAATGTTGTATCTTACCTTTAACTTTACCAAAGAAATTCCAACGCGTCTTCTACACAGGTCTGGCGGTGAACATGTGTAACATCCAACACTGGTTGGGAGCAAGGTTTTAGGCGGGTAAAATCGCAAATCTACAACCAGACCGTGTACACACATGCCTTCCCGTGTTCAATGGGACCTGGTTTTTGCTTATGATCGATGGACCCATGTTGATTTCAACATGTGAAGAGGCCTCTATAACGTTACCCTGAAGCACCAATGAATGTGCTAAATCCGGCCCATTGTGTACACATACCGGTATGTGCAGGCAAAGACTCCTGTGAAGAGCCATTGTGAATCAATAGTATACAAATATTGAATGTTTTGCATTCGAGTGATGGTGAGAATATTTTCATGAGTTGAAAGATTGAACGTGTTCCATTCAATGATGCGAAGCCGAGTTGAATGGAACACTCCATCTTTCAACAAATGAAAATTTTCTCACGATTGCAAAACATTCATTATTTGTTGTACTAGTGCAGTGCCCGTCTAAAATGTGCCTGTTCGGGAAACGCAAATTGCTTTGCCGCTCGTATAGATTGCATACTGGCAGAGTTTTTAGAGAACTGCCCGTGCAAACAACGCACGCGATTCAATGGTGTTGTTTTATTTGTTGTATGTAACATCCAAGTTGATATTTGTCATTCGATTGGAGGATACAAATTTAAGAACAGACAAAACGCACAAAAACTGTATCATATCCACTACTTTTTTTCAGCTTGTTCAAGGCTCGTTCGAAGCTGAGTTGAATGGAACATTCCATCTTTCAACAAATGAAAATATTCTCACCATTGCACGTATGCAAAACATTCATTATTTATTTTTTATACAACACCTGAATAAATCCCCGTCATCTGATGGTGAATTGTAGATCATGTGACATATTATTATTCGGTATAATGCACGGTGCGACCATGCGTTATACCCATGCGTTATACCGTTTCACTTTGCGCTTGTTCCATGACGCGGTATTTACGTGCAAAATGCATGCTGGTGTGCGCGTTCAGCGTAGCGTGTATTGTTCCAAAGAGCCAGCGCTACAGCGTTGGGTTCAAACATTTTCGTGTAGGGGTAGTTCAACATCTTTAAAATCAAAATAAATTGTAGTTTATAAGTTACCAATCAAATGACGAGAATTTATTCAGGTGTTGTATAAAACAAATAACGAATGTTTTACGTTCGTGCGATGGAAAG